ATATAGGGATTGTAAGTGAGGGTATTGCAGTAGAGGCACCACAAGAAAATAGGACACAATTCTATAGAAAAAGAACAGTTTGTACATAGTCCTGGTGACATAGTGAGTCCGTATTGGTGAAAGATAATGGGCTCTGTTCTCAGTGGATTTAAACTGAGGTCCATTCCTTGAACTTGGTGAACTTCAGGTATGGGGCTGCCTAAAATTCATTTTTCTGTCTACCCACTATCAAAACTGGGACACGCAAGACACCCCTGAGCAGAGGAGAAAAAGAAGATAAGTGAACAGAAACAATTTCAGAAGAGCTGTTTGTCACTCCTATTCTGAAAGCATGTCTTTCTTTTTTGGGGTATTTTGGTGTGTTTTTTTTCAAATTCATTTTTCTCTTGGTGCTTGTCCTGACATTTTGGGTAAGAAGAGAGCCTTTCAGCTGCTGGGAGTAGCAGATTGAAGAGAAAGCATTTTGCTGCTAGAGACTTAATTTGAAGTGAAGGGCAGGATGTGAACATCCAGAGAGGGAGGATGACTAGAATGATTATAGAGCAAGGTATAATTTTAAAATTATATCAGAATTTCTGCAAATACAGAGTGTTTCTTTTTTAGAAGCTGCCAAGTCAGATCCATCCTTAGGCATATGAGGCACCCCTCTCAGCTTCAACAATATTGAATCTAAGCTCAGGTGTCAGGGGTTTTGTATGAAATTAATATAAAATCCATATTGTGCTTCAGCTGAAATCAGGATTCCGTTTTCTTGAAGTACATTTCACAAGAACAGTACAAGATGGATCCTGCCACAGGGAGCTTGCAGTCTAAACATGAGTTTTATTTCACTTTTAGAAGAAGAAGCTAGAGACAGAGATGTAGGGATTGATCATGCGGCTTTTCATAAAGAGCCGCTGTGGTTTGCCTGTGGTTTGAATTGCTCAGAAGCTGCACAGCTATGCTGGCACTGTTCAAAGCCTGCAGTAACTTGTCCCAACCCTCAGCTGGACTCCTCGGCTGAGGATCAGAAAGTGGCTAAGGGAGGCTGCATAGTCACTGGCCAGCCCCCAGCCCCGAGGACAAAGTTGGCTCACTTCTATTCCAAAGGACCACATAGATGCCATGGGGAATACAAGCTTCAGCCATTTAATAGTCAGCTGTCTAGTCTAAGCTAGTTCTTAGCCTCATTATACTGAGGGTAGTCAGTGGAGAGATGGAAGTACACTTACAAGGTGATTCACCACCACTGCCACCTTAAAATGGGATTGTGCCTATCTGGAAAGTCTCTCTCCAAGAACTACAGAGGAAAATTTGCTCAACTGAATAATGGTAAAAGAATAAGTCTGAAGTTACAAGAATCCTGACTAATCCTGTAGCTGAATGACGACTCTGTTTCCTCGAAAGTCAGAGACAAAGGATGGGTGCTCCTGAAGGGTCACCTGTTCCATCGGAGAGGAGCTGACTAGCTGAATAAGATGAAACACTCTTCTGCCCATGCTACGAAGAAGGCAGAAGTACTTACCAGATGCCAAGCTTTACGCCACTTGTGTTAGCTGAGATGAATCCCACAAAGTTTACCAAACACGAATTTCATTCTGCGGGTTGCAGTGCAGACACGGGAAGGGAAGGCAGAGTTTGTGCTTTCCACAAGTTGCCTTTTATTCAAGGCCATCCACTAGCAAGACCACCACTTTTCACTCTGGCCCACATGAAATCTTATTCTTTAAAACTGTCTGTTGTTGTTGCTGATTTCTAACATGCTGAGAACCAGGAAACTTTGCCCTCTTGAAGCTGCACCTTGCTGCTTGCAGTGTCTGAGCTACCTTTTCCAAAGCCAGCTGTGCTCTCCCTGCATCGCGTGGCGATGGAGACATACTGTCAGCGCCAGAGGAGAACCCCCCTGAGCAGTTTCACACTCAAGTCACATTGATTTCCGTGGGCAGATTTCACTCAGCGGGAGTTGTTGGCTGTATCATGGTTTACAAATATAAGGAGATTGTGCAGGCTGGCCTTTATTCCATTTAATTTTTTTGTCTTAATTTTCTTTGCTCTTCTGAATTGTTTGTTTCAAATATGCTTTTCCAGGCAGGATCAGGCAATATTCTCATCGATAATAAATTCATTCCAATCTCCATCACTCGCCTAAGGCAAATTACTTCACTCTCTGCTTCTCTATCCCTTTCTTCCAATGTCAGTACATCAGTGCTTTCTAGCACAATGAACTTATAACTTCTTTTTGAGTGAGACTATTTTTTAGCTCTGCATGATAGTACCACAAAAACAACCACCTGCTATAACTGAATTTGATACACGGTGTTATGGAATATTAATTCCATGTCTACACTTTCTTTTCTGAAGTAGGAGGATCTTCTTGCTTTTCTCTAGGTTGGCTTGCAGTATCTATTGCTACCCCAGTGTAAGGAAGACAACTGATGTTGAAGCAATAATAAGAAATAAGAAAGATCTCCCTATTCCTGTCAAAAGCATTTAATCTGAGAGAGCAAGACTAGCAGGAGGTTCTCAGAAGACCTCATTTGCCACTTTTATTGTCTGTAACACCTATTGCAAGCAAACATCTCATTTCCATGGATATTTATGTATCTTTTGTACAGAGTGCCATACACCCGTGAACTATAAACCTGTTACTACATGCCTTCAGATTTACGTGGTAAACACAGTTCCTACTGCATGGACAGACACCAGCTATCAAAAACAATAAAACCTAATAGGGCTCAATGCAATCTTGGTTTCCATTTTTATTATGCTGATTATATCACAAAACTTTTCAAACCACAGTCTTTGAGCTTTTTGGAGGTGTTCTAGTGAATCACAGTATTCATATAATGAGATCTTCATCTGGCAAAGAAAAAAACCTGGGATAAGAATAGAAGAAAGAGAGAAGGAGGGGGAAACATAAAGGATTCTTTTTTTTCCCAGCTCCTGCAATGATTTAATGCATATTTTTTGCAATAATATTGTATTCTAGTGAGTCTGGTGAAGCTCAGGGTTTTTTAGATAATAGGATCAGGCTTTTAACAGGTTGTTAATTTATATTGTGTGATCTGATGCCGCATCCTTTAATTCAAAAGAATGATCATCAATTGCTTATCATATGCTATCATTATAACATCATAACAGTGTTACTTGAGACTGACCTAATTCTTCAAACACCGTATCACTCAGAACTTGCCTGTCCACCACACATGGTAGTATGAGGCTTATATTTTGCGAGAAAGCATAGGGCTTGATTCCCTGCTACTGAAGCTGATGGAAAAGATACACCAAGTCCAGTCCTGTAAGTGTAATTCTCCACTGATGGAAATCTGCTGCTATCACCAAAGTTGATAAAGCCCGCACTATTTTTACAAGTTGATCACTCAAACCTCATTATATTGTACTTGTGCCAGGCTCAAAGTACGACACTTTGAAAGAGTATCTGCTTTACTGAAGATTTTATTTTTCCTAGCACATAGTCAAAGAGAGAGCTTTTCAATGGATCATCACTTGGAAAATCACAGAGCTAGCAGCTTTGAACAGTTGATAAAATTATGGTCTCAATCTCAATATCAAATGCAAATAGGTAGTGGAGTTATTTAGATTTAGTTTTTCTTTCTTTTCCTTCTGAGGTAGAACATGATCCCCACTTGAGATTCATTCACTAAGTAATTTTTTTAGACATTAGTAGGAAATTTGAGAGATTGCTCTGAGTTTTTCTGTGTACTGGATAAATCTTTTAGGTTTAAGAGCTAGTGAGAAGGTGATCTACAGAATTACAGGAGGGCTTATGCTTCTTGAAAACCAGTCATAGTTTGCCATGTCTCTGACACAGTGATCAGAAAGAAGCAAGAGCTGGGCACCTTTATTTTATTCAAAATAGAACATGGTACCTGGATTTTTCCAATATCCTAAGAGAAAACAACTCCCATCCACAATCCATCACCACCTCTTTCTGCATGCGTGAAACAGGCGGTCGGCTCTTTACCATTCAGACCTTTAGTTCAAAGCTTGTTACCTGAAGCTTAATCTCTGAATAGTCAGTAAAGGACTGATTCTACTTTAAGCTTACGCAAGAAATCATTAGAGGTCAAAGTCATCCTTTTGACATTGTGAGTTTACATTCTCTAGAGCAAAGTCTACAGTAAAGACAGTGAATGATACTATGACAGTTCTTTACTAATGCAGGACCTTTCTATTCTTACTGTATTTTTAAGAAAATTAACAACATGAGAGAGGTGAGCCTCTCTCATGTATCCACACAACTGGCTGTAGCATAAAGCAGAATCTGTTTTTCAGTTTCCAGTCATCTCCCTGGGTCAAATTAAAAAATGTGCCAGTACCCAATCTTTGACAGGGCATAAGGGGCAATGGGCACAAAGTGAAGCACAGGAAGTTCCGTCTGAACACGAGGAAGAACTTCTTCCCTCTGAGGGTGACGGAGCACTGGAACAGGCTGCCCAGGGAGGTTGTGAAGTCTCCTTCTCTGGAGATATTCAAGACCTGCCTGGAGAAGGTCCTGTGCATCCTGTTCTAGGTGATCCTGCTTTGACAGGGGGGTTGGACTAGATGACCCGCAGAGGTCCTTTCCAACCCCTACCATTCTGTGTCTGATTCTGTGTGTGATATATAGAATTTAAATCGGAGGCCTAAATATTTGACTTGGCAATACTGAAAGACAGCTAAATGATACTAAAAGACAGTTACGTGGCAGTAGATTTCATGCTCAAGGGAAAATTTGTTTCTGGTGTATGTTGGAGTGATTTAACTGGGACTGAGAGATGCCTTCTGCTGGGTAGCATCTGGTCATTATGGTGCATTGCAACTACAAATTTTATGCTATTCCTATGAATGAAAACTATTTTATTCCAAGGAAACCTCACTAGAAAAATATACTGTTTATTATTCTAAACAAGCTCATATTTATGGATAGAAGAAAGAATCAGCATAAAGTGCAGTAATAGTGTGAAGAAAGGAATGGATTTCCACCACTAATGTATTGTATCCCTCCTTCTTTTCTACAGGTTGCCCAGGAATGTGGGACAATATTACATGCTGGAAACCTGCAAGCGTGGGTGAAATTGTCTTTGTCAAGTGTCCTGCACTGTTCAGATTTATCATCTCTGAAGATGGTAAAGTATTATCTCTTTGTTCTTTGCCTCTGTGTGGTAAAGCTGCTTGGCCAGCATGAGTGTAAAACCTCACTTAGATACTCAGTATAAAAGGAAATCAAAAACTCTACAGAGGTCTGGAGCTGGACTTCAGTTTAAAAAAATACCATAGAAAACCAGGATGTTTGTGTGCAGATATGTGTATGTGTGTGTGTGGAGGAGCGGGAGGGAATGTGTGAAAAAAAGCCTTCACAAATAACATGAAAATACCACCAACCTTGATTGCTAAAGGGGACGTTCTTCCCTTGGGACTCCACTGAAATCAATGAGACCTGAAACCATGTCTGGGTCTTGGGTAACCAATAATCATAATTCAAATCTATTTTAAAAAACAACTAAAACTCAGAGCTGAGTTCTGCTCATGCCTAAGGGGAACATAGACTTGAGATGATTACCGTGAGGAGCTCCCATTTTGGGAGTCCAGGGAAGAGTCAGTAGAAATTAAAGATTCCTGAAGAGATGCAGAAGCTCTGTCATGCCTTTTTGTGGTCTGTAGAAATGAGACATCACCATCCTTCTGCCACTTGCAGCTGGCATGAGCAACCAAGCAAACAAATGAAAGACTGGAGATTTATGGCTGTTTCTGCTTCCAACATGCATTGCTGCCTAGGAGACTTGTCCCTTATCTTGCAAAAAATACTGCAGATGATCAGCTAGGCTGGTGCATTTTCTCTTTTTTCTCTTTCTGCTGTCACTTGAAGATTGGACCAAAAGTCCCATGTACTCACCATGCTTGGTAACCAAACCCTGCTTCAATCCTGATACAACCCAGGCACTGCTGCCAAATGAGTTGCTATTTAAAGGAGATCCTACCTTATTAGTGATAATGCTAACTATTTGACATAGTTGTTAATATTACCTAGTGCTTTTTAATGTGAAGAGTCTCTGTGAAAGCTACTGTTTGCATGATACCAAAACCCTCTTGCACTTTCTCAATTTTTTAACCTTTGAAATGCGTGAAAATTTGCCAGGTAAAAATGAGAGTGTGTGGACAGGAGGAAATAACTATTGTGTTTTTCGCAGCAGGTATATAGATTGATTAGATGTTCTCTTGAAATTCTTTTTCTATTTTTTTCATGATACCATGAAATTACCTTTCCAGCTGAATGACTGAGAGAGGTTAAGTCCTCTCGTCAATGTTAGCTAACAACAAGCCTTTGCTGATAGTTAACACAGTTTTGTCCATCTCCTGCCAGCACCCGCTAGTGCAGATCACTTAATTAGCACTGTCAATTGAGGAACAAGTTCATCATCTTCCTCTGGAATCCTTTTTCCAAAAGATTATTTTACCATCGAATTGTTCATTTACAGTCTTGAGTCCATAACCCACCTTTCTGTGTTGCCACACACAGAGCACAATTTGTGGGAGACAGTGTTTCATACACTGTTCCAGGAATGCTGAAATCCTCACCTTGAGACATCCGTCTGAACCCCTCCAGACACTGAAGTAAGTGCCAATGCTCTTGAGAAACGGAGAAGAATTTACGGGTGATCAGCACCTGATCTGAATTTACCCATGGGAAACTCGAGTGTTTTCTCTTTACAAGCGCTCTAGATTCCATCTGTAGTCAGCAGAGAGAAAGAGACCCACAGAAGGCAATTTATGTTATTCCATGAGAGGTGAGGTGAATCAAACCTTGGAGATACCTTTTCCATCAAGTACTAAGGGCAATTCACTTAAACTAGGCATCTAATTTTTGAATGGGAAAAGATAACTCCCTCTTTAAATTAGGTATTTCAGGTATGAAAATATAATTACTACTGTAATTATATGTGCTTTAATTATAGCCAGTAAAATTAAACATAGTCTTTACTACCGTACTATTGATTCAGTACTGACTCAGTGGGTACAATGACACTTACTGAGCCATCCACATTTAGCAATAATAGAAAAAACAACATTTCAGCATCCAGTAGGGTTTGTGTCCAGCACAGGTAAGGAAATATTCTTACCTCTTTCAGGGTTTTTTGGTGTATTTTTTTTTTTCTATTCTCCATGACTTTGTAATCAATTTTTGTTGACTGCTTGTCATTCAGCCTGACTGTCAAATCAATTCTGGTCACCCTTTGTGCAGTATATACACTCAACCAAAAGTTTTCAATATCCATTTATCAATGATGCTTGCAGCCTGCAGGCAAAATACTTTTATGTTATTTGTGGTGCACCAGCAGATGGCTGATATATTGTTATCTTCTGATATAACTGCAGGAAGCCTACTGCTCATGTAGCCCCTGTCCGAATTTCTATCAGGACCCCTTCTTTTCTGTGGCTTGTAATCTACACCCCCTACATACCCTTCAACTATGGCGTGCTAACACATGGTAACATCACCTAACACTTGTCTCTCTCTTCCTGCCTCTTTTGGATGCAATGCTCAGTGATATTGCTGGTTTGACACTACGGAGATAGGTGCCACAGACATCTACAGCACAGCAAAACTCTCCCTCTGCCAAACTGTCCACACACTTCTGCCGTGGACCTTTTAACTGTTCTTTATTTCAAGGGATGTCTCTGATGCTTCTTTTTGTATCCCACACAAATCCGGTGCCTGTTCACTTTTACTGATGAAATTTCTTTTCCGTGTTGCTGTCATTTCTGAAGTAATTAAGGCTAGGAGGGCTCTTGAGAAATCCTCTAACCATCTCCCTCCTCACAGACAAGCTCATTATGATCTATTCCAGCACTTAACTAATGTGTTACTTGTTAAAGGGAAAGAATATTTTACTTTTTTAAATAAAAATTAATATATATTTTAGAAAAAAATAAAAAAAATATTTATATAAAATGAAAAGCTCTACTATAAGTAGAACTATGTAAAATAAAGGCCTGAAATAATATTTCTAAATTCTTTTCCTGGGATTTCCAGACCTGTTTGCATACTGTACTTCGCTTTTGACTCGTAGCAGGATGATAGTATGACCCTAGGGGAGAACAGTCCATCCAGTGTAAACACACCTCCTGCTTGTTTTGTCTCCATACAGGTTCACTAACAAAAGTGACAGCTGTTACCTCTTGTAGTGCTGGGTTTGAGGGGTTTCTGGACATCTGTTCAGTAGGAACAAAACCGAGATTCATAATTCATTAGATAAATAAACATTTTATCTAGAGTAGTTCAAAATCTCTACAGATCTGGCTGGATTTGCACTAGTGACTCCAAGGTGAAAATGTCCACATCCGTAATCACTCTCCTGGGTGAATAAGCATGAGTTTTCACTCTAATTGCTGCTGATTTTAATGAGCCAAGTATATTTTTTTCAAGGAGGTCTTAATCAAAGAAGTCACATTTTATCATGGTTCCTTAAATAAAGTTATTAGATAGCTAAAATGTTTCTAAGGCACAGCTAATAAAAATTTATAAAATGCTGTAGTATCCTATGGCTGCTGCTCTGTTTCTAGAATATGTAACTAAGCTAGGCACTGTGACACTAATATTTATAAATAGTGTAGTCATTCTTAATACAGCAAAATTTTTATATGACCATAAATAATTTTTACAAACAGTCACTATAACTTTAAATGATATTTTTGAAAAGTTTGTCTTATGAAGCACTGAAGCACCTGTAGGTAGAGCTGCATGTATAACAACAGGCAAACCATATGATGGGTTAATCTTCGAGAGGCGGCAGGAGCTATCTCACTTGGTTTTGAATGTCTAAAAGTTATACGGGTAAGTCTGAACTGTTCACATGGATTTCTGGTTCAGTAAATGGAAAGCAAGGGGCACTTGTAGAAGATGTTTCCTCTGACCTATCTCAAATGCCTATTTTGAGATGAATGAAGTCACTGGAGGAGGCTGTTTTTGTGTTATGAATTTCAGAAAGCAATTTGGCTGCGTTGACTTGGATGTCTGATTTCCATAGGCAGTAAAATGGGCAAAAAAAGAAGAGACCACAAAATAAAAATTAACCAACTAAACTGTCATCTGAAGAGATGCTTTGTTGAAAAATTATCTATGGATTTAGCTAAAAATAGCAGCTGTTGCTGTTCTTAATTTGAAAATATACTCTGCTTTAATCTTCACTGCAATTGAACTGAGGAGTAACATTTGAACTGCTGTCAAAGTCATACAGAAAGCCTAATGTTAAATCCCATGCTGTATGCTTGGTGACCCTTTTTGTAAAATTTCATTTCACCTCTCTGCTCCCCCAAAATCAACAGAATTTTTCAATTCCTTTCAGATGGAGACTGTAAACAAAAAGATCGTTCTCAAAGTCTCTCCACATGAAAAAACACATTAGCTTCTGAGTCTTTTCTAATCTAGTAGGTTAAAGACTCACAGTGGCACTCCTTCTAGAGGCTTACTAAATACTAATTTATTTTCCTCTTCAACATTCATTTATTTGATTGATATTCACCTATTCACAATTTTATTCTTCACCAGGAGCTGTAACTTCCATGACATCGCTGTTGTATATTACGCTTTCTCCAGTACATTCCCAGTACTGACTCCAGAGACAACCACTCTAGAACAGGGTATAATTAAAGCATTCTAAGGTTTCTTTGCAAAGGAAGAAAAAAAAAAGGAAAAGTATGTCCAGCTGTGATGTTGCATGTCAGTGTGACAAAGCAAGACCTAGAGATGGTCCCAACACAGTGCTCTGCGATCCCAGATGGGAAATTTTCTCTGTTTTGTACTTTTTCCCTTTTTTTTCCAGACAGAGGTTATACTGCGTGGCAGTGGAAATCTACAGAAACAAGCGTGTGCTTTTTCATTCTTTGCCCTGCACTGCTCACAGATTCTGGAACCTATAAAGCCACATTACTCGAACAGACCATTGAAAGAAATCCAATAGCCAGATCAGAAATGAACATATTTTTAGATCTTTGATTTGCAGTAAAAACTAATACAAATGATAATAGGCAGTTTCTGAGCATTGCCATATGCTCCACATTGAGAAAATGCTTTCATTCACAAATCCAAACAATAAATATGATTAGCTTTTACTGCATCTTCCAGCAA